ATATTAAGCTAGAAGTGGTAGCACACACCTGTAGTCCCAGCTACTTAGGAGGCTGAGGTGAGAGGATGGCTTGAGCCCAGGAATTCTGGGCTGTAGTGTACTATGCTGATCAGGTGTCCACTCTTAAGTTTTGCTTCCATATGGTGACTTCCGGGGAGTGGGGGACCACCAGGTTGCCTAAGGAGAGGTGAACTGACCCAGGTCAGAAACAGAGCAGGTCAAAACTCCCGTGCTGATTAGTAGTGGGATCATGCCTGTGAATAACTACTGCACTCCAGCCTGGGTAACATAGCAAGACCCCATCTCTTTTAAAAAACAAAACTATATTTTAAATTATAGATGGAGTTAAAAATATTTTGAGCTGTATCAGAATCATGTCAACTTTCAATACATCTTTTACTTAGCTTTTTGCACTAATTTCATAACAAAGTCCTATTGGTGCTACCTTTAAAATTTACCTCTGTCGTGACCATTTCAACACTTCTGCAACTATCATTCTGACTTAGCCACTGTTTTGTTTGGTCTGGATTATACAGTGGCATCCTACATGGTCTCCCTGCTTCCACTCTTATACCCCTAGAGCATATTCTCCATAAACCCAATAGAATCATCTTTTAAAAGCATAAATCATGGTCAAAACCCTCCAGTGGCATCATCTCATATAAATAGCCACTTCTGCCTGCGAGATGCTACCTTATCTATCCCTGGCTACTTCTCAGATCATTTAGTCCACATTTCACCTGGCTCACTTTAGTGAGTCCACCAGTCACACTCCTGCCTCAGGGCCTTGCACGCGCCATGGCTGCTGCCCAGGATACTTTGCCCCATCACTACTGTCACCTTCCCAAAGAGGCCTTTCCCAGCCACCCTATCTGAAATAGTCTTTCTTTCCTCACTACCGTCATTGCTGTTTGCTGACTCTCCTTAGTCTTTTGGTTGATTTTTGCACCAAGTATACTACCTCAAGCTTGTCTCTCTCTGTTTGCTTTACCACCAGTAAAAGAGCAGGGCCTTTGCCTTGTTCATCCATCCCTCCCAAGCCCTTGGAACAGTGCCTCCCAGGTGCTTAATAAATATTTGCTGAATAAAAGATGGCTGATAGCAAAAATATTTATGTCTGCATATAGGGACTTAGGCTTTTATATTTATTAGTGTCGTGCTTTATTCCCTAGAGACCCTGAAATTTGGCGTCTGGCCTGCTTGAAAGTTTGGGGCAGAAGCTGTATTAAACTTGTTCCATACACATCCTGGAGAGAGATGTTTTTAGAACGGCCTCGTGTTCGGTTTGATGGTAAGCTGAACTCTGTAGAACTCAGGAGAAATGGTAATCTGTAATGCTGATTTTGATAAATATATAGTTTAAATTTTCTGTAATGAACCTAAGTACTATGGGCATATTTAAGGGA